ACTTGATTTCACAGATACAATGACTATTGTCAATGTCTTCTTGAGATTAAACCACAACTTGGTTTTTTCAAGGTATTACAAGATACAATAATTGAAGGTGTGTACAGAAATATTTTCTTAACAAAACTATATCAAATCAGTGATTTTTACACAATTGAAAAGCACAATATAAAATGGGGTAATGATGATTTTTATCTTTCAGTGCGCAGTAGTATGTATCCTGATCTCTTCTTCAAGTCTGCTTCATATAGGTGATGCATGAGAGACATGAGAATATGCTTTTGGAAGGTTGATAATGTGTAGTTAATGTTCTTTCAAAAAATAGAGATCTTGTCTTGGTTCAGCGTTACTTTTTAATTTGTAATGAATGATTTAGTAAGGCTTCAGAACATTTCTTTCTTTGAATCATATCAAAAGATGAATGTTACCGTTTGAGATTTCTTTTTGTTCTTCCAAAACTTTACTTTATCAAAATATCAGAGTTTGGGTCACATTGTTGGTGCAATCATAAGTTGTAGCTTCAGAACTTCTTCATTTTAAGCGTGTTGCACATATTTTCTTCTAAGTATGATGTACTAAAACAGAGCTTAAGAAGCATAACTCTCTCATCTTCTATGCTTCTTTCATCAGAGTTTCCCTGCATATTAAAATACTTTATTAGAGAGCATATTTGTTTTTTATATATAACATGTGTTTGTTATCATCAAAACTCTTATAAGAATGTAGAACTAAACTATGTTCTAACAGGGAGGTGAAGGGTGCCTAACACCTTCCCTTTGTCTAACAAACTCACGAACTTAGAATCTCCAAACAATTAGGGTTACCCATTCTTTCATATCCTTAGAACAAAAAGTAGTGGTGGCGACTAGCTTTTTTTTTGTCAGTACGACACACTCAAGGGAAATAAAACATGTAAATTTATCTGAAAAGAACCATTAAATGGGGTTCTAACATGCTTAGATCAAACATGCTGGTATTGGAAATAATTTTAAAAGAAAGTACATTTTATTATATTTCCAACAATAAGAACCACATATCATTTAGACACCCGAGGCGAAAGTTATGAATTTCCAAAGTTTGGAAATTTTCCTGCTTGTGTCAGTGGTAACCGGCTACATCCTGAGGTAACCGGTTACTTCACCTTGCCACCCTCGTATTTTTGGTTCATCTAACCCATTACATCCTTAGGTAACCGGTTACCTCGACTATAAAATGGTTTTTTCTGCCGTTTTTAAGCTACAAAGGCCATTCTTTTTCGATTCCAAACAATCTCAATTCAAACCTTAACATTCAATAACAAACCATGGCATATATCATCATCCTTAGAACACATTTCCATCCTCTATTCATGCATGCAACAACAAGGAATCAAACAAAATCCAAACACTGACACATCGTAGGCAACTTCTCACTACCCATTCAATATGAAAATCAATCCATATTCCTACCCAAGTTCTATCTAATAGAACTCACTTTGCATTAATGTGGAGGTTTGGATGGTGAAAAATTTGCTATTGAGTTTCAGTCTTGATCAAAATTCAACATCGATGATCATCAAACCCGTATGCATGTCTTCACTAAAAAACAGCTTCATACCCGCATCATTAAACACATTTTTCACTCTCATCACAAACTTGTATAAGCCAGAGTTTATACTAAAATTAAAGAGAATTTTGTGAGCTTTTCAAAAAGTCTAGAATCGTTTAAATCTGAATTATGAGTGAAGAGTTATTACCTTTTTAGTAAAGGTTGGTCCAAAAGTGCGAAAATACATTCATGATGATGATGAACATGATTTTTTCCTCCTCTATAATCTTCTAAGACCTTCATTCTTCTCTTCAGATCTCATTTGGAAATGAATACCAAACAAGCCCTTGTTATTCTCATTTAATATGGCTAATTGACCAAAGTGCCCAACAACTATACAATATTTACTAGTTTGACATTTGGTTCAATTCCATTCAACTCATTGTGATTTCAAATAAACCTTTAATCCCTCTTAAAAACACATAAGTCACTTATGCTTAGAAAAATAGGGATGTTACCATTATTTTATATGATTTAAACATAAAAAACAAATCTCATTTCGTAATTTTAAATCTTAATATATAATAAACTTTTTTTAATTAAAAAATTATTATTAATTTATAGTATATATTTTGTAAATTTAGATATTAAAAAAATAAATAAAAAATAAATCATAATAAATTTGGCCAGTTTTGATCGATCTAACTTTATAGAACTATCATTTCAGATCTTACTAAACTTCATATGCTTTACATTTTTAAATCATATGGGTTTTTTACTTTGAAATTGATATGAATCGCGTCGCAAATATCCCATAAATAATTTAACCCAATTTTTCTAAATATATTTTAATAAGTAAATGATGTTCTTCTACTAACATAGAAATATATATTTCATTTATTCATTATACATCACATCATCCTTAATAATAATTTCATAACATAAAATTATAAATATAAATTACTACTTTGGAATTGTTGGATGTTGAATCTTTGAAGGAGAGAGAAGTGGGGATAAAGATGGATTTTTCAAACCGCATGAACTCCAAAAATAAATCCTTCCAATAGGACATACCCTTCCACATTCACCATAAATAAAAAAACTTGTATATGGGCTTACACACAAACGGTTACAACACCACAAAAGAGATAGACAAATAAACCCTCAAATGCCACAATTGAATGGGTCAAATATAAGATCCACACATCGATTTCTATAATATACACTTCTTGGTAGAATTTCTCCAATATTACATATCGATATATTTTTGCTACAATCAAGTGGATCTGGATAATCCACACCAACTTCTTCAACAACATTGTTGGTCATTGAATTTTTATTCACTTCATCATTTGGAATTGAAGTTGAATATGAATCTTCGTCAATTTTAGTTAGCAATGCTAAAAGTAATGTCACAACAGTCACAAATTATTCTTTTAGAGTACTCATTTTGAAAAGTTGTGAGTACACACACACACATATATATATATATATATATATATATATATATATATATATATATATATATATATATATATATATATATATATATATATATATATATATATATATATATATATATATATATATATATATATATATATATATATATATATATATATATATATATATATATATATATATATATATATATATATATATATATATATATATATATATATATAAATAAGTGATTAATTGATTATGTGAACATATATACTTTTCTAACAAGCTTGAGTAGCATGTATGACATGTCAACCGTGTTCTCTTTCTATGGGCGGTGATGAGTGATTTTATTTATGGAGAAATAAATAGTAGTTTAACGTTTGGAGTTTTTATATTTATATTTAAATTATTCAATATATTTTTACATTATTATATTTATATTTATATTATTATATATTTAGTTTATGTTTAATTAAAATTAATTTTATAACGTCAATCATTTTTTAAAATAATTACTTTGATATAAATAATTTGAATATTATTTTTTTTAAATATTTAAAAATAAATTATGATTTGAAAAATATTTTAACAATGTGTATGTTAGTAAAATATTTAAATAATTTATACTTTAGTTATATAAATTATATGTTATATCACATTATTGTATAAACTAATCTTTTAAATTTAAATAAGTGCACATGGCGCGTACTACCTGGTTTGCGGCAAAATTATCTCCTAAAATTTAAAATTTAATACATTTCAAAAATTTAATTCAAACTTAAGATCTTAACAAAAATTAATTATATAAATATTATTGAAAAAACATAAATATCATGTAATACCCGGTATTATATTTACTCACTAATGACATTACTAAATAATGGTGATGATTATTAGAGAATGAATATATGTTATTTACACCATTTAATGGTATATTGAGAAAATTAACTAAATGTGTAGTAAGGGCATTTTAGGTATTACATCTCTTAATTGGGTCAACTAAGGACATGTTTGGCATTGTCTCATTATCCACATTTGGAACAAAACAGAATTGTAGAAGAATAGAGAGAAAGAAGCGTGAGTTAGAGGGGAAGAGGAAGAAGACCCATTTTGTTTGAAGGCTAAAATCTTGTAGGCAAACCACGCTTGGCTCTAATCATCATCTTCTTGTTCTAATTTCGCAGCTTCATCTCCTCTATCTCTAAGGTGAGTCTCATAGTTAAAGACTTTGGGGGTTAGGGGAAAGATGATGTGAATTGGGAATAAGGTTCTAGAGTGTAAATCCTTGTTGCATGCTATATACATTGGAGATTAACATGTGTATATCCTGATTTTCGTGATTGTATGTCTTGGGTACTTGGATTTGATGGTGAATATGGGGATTTGGGACCCCAAAACATAACTGCCGCAATTCTAGTTTTTTGCATTTTACAGATCGTGCTTAGCGCGCGGTTATATACTTAGCGCACCCTCCTGATGCAATTTTGTTTAAAACCCTTAAGTGTAGTTCCGTACCGTAGTGAGTATCAGAAGCCTCTTTATCGGTATAACTAATGTCTATGTGACTAATTCTATAAACTGTATAATTCCATGCTATGATCATTATGAATATGTATTTTGAATATGTGTAACATGTTGAAATCATATTATATGATAAATGTTATGATAAGATCATTTGTATGTTTCTCGTTCGTTCTGGTTGGACGTTAGGATGTGTCTATTGTGTGGATCGATGTGATTGTGTGTGATATATGCTTGAATAGAAGTAGAACAACTAGTAGAAAGTAAATCACTTATGACTTTTATGTGCCTTTTTTACTGACACAGTATTCTATAAGATCTCATCAGTGTTATAGTTGTGTCATACACATCTGAGCTAACATTACAATGCGCTTGTCTGTGTCTGAAATGGCGTTCCATCAACAATTAACCATATTGTGTGCTTGGTATGGTGGGGAGGAGATGCCATATTGGGGATATAACCTTAATTTTAACTCTCCTCTAGTGGTTCCAAGTAGGCTACAATATTAGGGTTTCGCCCGGTGTGCTCTTGTTGTCAAGATGGAATTTTTGTATCGTGCTTGATATGTTCTCCCACACATGCGTATTGATGATTGATAGGACTGTGATGCCACGTAAGTAATCTCACTGCTATAACTTGTCACACATGGAATTCCACTTAGGACTCATATGTTTCATCATACAGTGTGCTGGTACAAGTCTCTTGATGTGATGTACGGGAATAACTCACCGAGGATGTGAATGTGTAATCTACGTAGTAGGTAAAACTTACTTCTTGATTCCTCGTACATAGGTACGGGTCCGCATAATGTTGTGGCCATTGTGCCAGGAATTGAGCCGAATATTTCATATCATTTGTGGCCTTTGTGTCGGGCCTTGTATCGATTACTTCTGTTTGGATGATGGCCTTGTGCATAATTTTTCTTCTTGTTACCCCATTGGTTAGTTATGGGACTTTCAATGGTGGTGTATCTCTGTTGTGTACTTGCACCCAGCCGGGAGGAGACCTCAGATTTACAGTGAATCTGTTTGATGCATACACCATGTAGAACTAAGTGAACCTTTAAGATAGGGAGACTCACTGATATTTAGTAATTTCACCCCATTCCAATTATTATTTTTCAGGTAGTTTGAGGTAGGATCGATGCAAGGGTACGATGAATTATCTTATTGGTCATGTTTCTCGATGAAATTTTATTTATATGTATCTTTATGCTTATGTACCCTTTGGATTATGTATTAGTATTTATGGGATTTGTATTATTTTGGGCATGGCAGGTTTGACAAGTTGTAATATGTACTAATACTTATATCTATTTATGCTGCTTATGATTGATGTTATGTACCATTTTAATACCATATGCATATTTCCCAGGTAATGTATGTGTGAAGTGTTATATATCATAAATCATATTTTTCTAATATGACTTTCTCAAAGTTAATGAAAATCATTTTTAACAAAAAAAAAAGGTTAACAAGAAATTTTGAAAAAAAAGTAACTATAACCTCAAAAAGAAATTAAGACCTCTTAAGAAATATGTCCTTATTTGAAAATAACATTTATAACTGTTTGATCAAATCACACAATCTTGAACACAACTAAAATACAAAATTGAAATCAACACAAGAAATTAAAACTTTTGAATAAAATGTGACTTCATACTTTTGTTGTGTAAATACTTAAAACACACGCAAACATATATATTGTTGCCTAGTTAGTTTGTTTAATAGCTTAATTTTAAAGTAATTATCAATCCTCAAAAAAAGGCAACTTACTAGCATACCTTAGATTGTGAATCTTGAATAAATCTTACTTCACATAAAAATTGCAAATTTTTTTTTAAGTTGATAATTATCTTAGAAAATTGTATGTCAAGTTATTATAAAGAATAAGCATTTTGTTTACACAACAAGGTTATCAGTTGATATAAGCATCGTTAAGCTGATTGCTCAAACTTGGTTTTATCTTCATAAATGAATTACTTCTCTGAAGTAGAAAAATATCAACAATTTATAGCTTAAGATATATTGTAGTTATGTAAAATCTGTTACTCGAGGATATTGAGTTTATATAATTTAGATTTACTAAAAAAATAAAAATAGTTATCACTAACTTTTATATTCATTTAAATGTAAAAATGTTTGCATCACATAAGGATTGTGTCAAAAATTTCATATCTAGATATTAGAAAGTTCACCCTAGAACCTAACATATAAAAACTTGAATTTGAACAAGGATAAAATTTTATTATAATAATAATAATTGTAATAATTTAAATAATAATAATAATATCTTGTGAATAATATACATAGAAAAAACATTAGTTATTGAACTTTAGGCGGTTTTGTGAAAATATCTGTCGATTGATCATGTTTGTCCATAAATGTGACTTTAACATCTCTTTTAAGAATATTGTTCCATCAAAAATGGTGTCAGATGTCTATATGTTTAGTTCTTGAATGCTTGATTGAATTCTTTGTTATATAGATTGCACATTTTTCATGAATAGATGAACTTTGAATATGATGAACTTGAGTTCTTATTCTGCTTTCTTGTTTCTTGTCCACAAAGAGAAGGATTAGAAACAAGAAAGCAGAATAAGAACCCAAGTTCATTATATTCAAACTTCCATTTTCCATTCAATTTGATATATGATTTTGTGTCCATAAATTTTGTTTTGAAGGAGAAAAACACATTTTAAGTTTGAGAATTATTGCTAGAAATTGGTTAAAGAGGAGTTACGAGATTGATGAACTTGGAAGTGGAATTTTGGTAAAGATAGGAGTTTAATCGCAGCATGTTCATCATTCTAATCTCCACTTATGCAAGGTAGGTTCCATTAGATATGACCTTGGGGTTTATGGGTCAATATTGGGAAAAGGATTTTGAGAGATATGTGAAATCAATTCCTATTTCCTTGCTTATTATGCTCTATAAACAAGAAATGTTAGTACACGTGATATCCATAAGTTCTGTTTGTGTATAAATGTTGAATGAATGTGAATAATTGGTGTTCTGCGACCCAAAGATGAAATCTATATTTTCTGGTTTTTCAGCATATTGTAGGTTGCCCTTAGCGCGTAGAAGGGCGCTTAACGTGCTAAACCAGAAAATAGAAATAATAAAAGCAATAGATTGCGCTTAGCGCGAGCCTGTATGTTCTTAGCACGCTCTACAACACCCCAAATTTCTAGATTGATTAATTATTTAATTTATTTAGCATGAATATGTTAGTCATTGTGAAGTATTTGATATATGAGATGTTTTGAGTGTTTTTAAGTAAGTCCTTGTGATGATTTATGATGATGAGATAAATATGATGGTTAATACAATGTTTGATGTGGTATATGATGAAGTAGTGGTGAGTCATGAGATAGTTTTGAGGCGTTTAGAATTAAAATAATTAGTCTAGAATTATTTAGTTTTCATGGTAATTGTTTAGAATTATCATTAATTAAATAAATAGAACAAATAGTGGTGTAGAGAAAATAAGGTAAGGTGGTAATTAGTGAAGTGTAAGTGAGGACAATAGTGGAAGATCATATTAGGGGTCTAATGGGTAAGTTTGATATAAGGAAGATGTGAGAGTTGGAAAGCTCATTATGTGCAATCATAACATTTGGAAGAACGCTATGAAGAGGCAGAGCTAGGACACAGAGAGACAAGAGGATTTTTGTGATTGAACACCAAGAGATTAGGTTGCTTCTATAATCTTAGGTAGGGAGTGTTTATTATTGTTATTATAATCGATCTAAGGTCTAGATAAATGTAGGTTGTATTGGGTTTTGGTGATTTGATGATTGTGTTGCAATTGATGAATTTGTGTTGGAATTGGTCAAAATACCTTGTAGAATTTCCATGAGTCTGTGTATATAATGCCTATAATGTTGTATAGATATTATATGATGATTAGGTATTCAAATATTTGAGGATGAGGACTGTTTTGGTGAAAAATTGCAAGAATTGGGGCTGGTTTTTATGTAGGAAATCGCAGTAGGAAAATCATGTTCGCGCAGAGTCGTCGGGCGATGAGGATGGTCGTTAGGTGATGATGGCTTTGCTTTGTTGTGGCCGGGAAAAAAGGGTGGCGATGAAGGGCAGAAAAGAAAGATGTTACTGGAGTGCGTCGCTCACACCGTCTCCAGGTGAAGCAGATGTGAAGGGTGTCTCACCAGGCGAGCGAGGGGCTTCGTCGGGCGATGGTGTCCAAAATGGAATAGGTAAACTGTCGCTCTAGGGTCCTCGAGCGAGATGTAGGCGACAGACAGCAGTAGGATTATTCAAAATGTCGTAACTTTTTATGGAACTCGGCTTAAGGTGTCATTCAAAGTGTTGGATAACTAACGCAATGAACTTTAGTTAGATGGAATAGAATGAGAAATAAGAAGTATATTCCCAATACCTAATCTAAGATGAAGTTAGGTTTCTCGTGTTGGATTACGATTATGCTTTGTTTAATATGATGGTATGATGATGTTTTGTTTATTATGATGATATGATGATGTTTTGTTTATTATAATGATATGAGGATGTTGTGATGATGATTTCTTTATTATGATGATATGATAATGTTGTGATGATGCTTTATTTATTACGATGGTATGATGATGTTGTGATGATGCTTTGTTTATTATGATGATATGATAATGTTATGATGATGTTATGATGATGATTTATTTATTATGATGATATGACGATGTTGTCATGACGCTTTGTTTATTGTGATGATATGATGATGTTGTGATGATGCTTTGTTTATTATGGTGATGTTATGATGATGCTTTGTTTATTATGATGATATAATGATATTGTGATGATGATTTGTTTATTATGATGATATGATGAATTTGTGATGATGCCTTGTTTATTATGGTGATATGATGATTATGTGATGAATTCGTGAATGATGATGCATTCGACTAGCAGTGGTCGTATTTATTATGTTGTTGTGCATCATGCATTCATGGCATAAATAAGGAACTCGGTCTAGTAATGTTGTTAGAACTTCGTTCCAGTGAAGATGATAGGACAATCGTCCAATGAAGGCATCAATCCCATAGTGTGGATTGAGTGCAAAATTGTGAAGTGTTTTGGTTCCAAGTGGGAATCGATTATATTGGTGGGGATCTTTTGAGAAAACGATGACTGAGTTATTAGTAAAGTTTTGGTACCACATGCATGAGTCTATGATGTTACATAACATTATAAGTGGCATTGCATAATGATGTGATTAGATGATGCTCGTTGATAAATGATGTTTTGATGATATGTTATTATTTATTGATCATGTTGTGAAGATGTGAGTATAACATTAGGTTTTGATAATGTGTGATGCCTTGCCTAAGTGCATGTCTACTATATTTATTACTTATGTCTTTTATAATGATTATGATTTACTCACCCTTTCTGCTTGGAAATGTTACCTCTATCCGAGGGTAACTTGCAGGTGATCAGGAATAGTCCATCGAAGCTTAAAGGATAGCTTCTGAGTGCGTTTATTTACTTTTAGTTGAATAAAGTGGGTCTTTCTTTGGTATGTAACATCGGGGTTGGGGTCGTTTGAATTATGAACTCTATGTTTGTTGTTTTGTTTCTAAGATGTTCGGATACCTTTCATGGTACCCGAGTTATTTTGGATTTGATTATGAATCATGAAGTATGATGAGATTTTATGAAGCAATTATAATAAGATGTTTTGAACTATGAATTCCACTATGAGAAGTATGAATATGTCTATTAATTGCTATCCATGAAGTATTTGTCTTAAATAATTTTGAAACCAGTGTTACAGAATAGGACTATGTTTGGTATGACGTTTACATGAAGATGTGACGCTGTTTTTAGGTTTTAAATTATTTTATTTTTATAAAAATACATGTGAAATATATATGGGTTGAGAAGAGTGTTACACACTC